TTGATGAAACATCCCTGGTCAGCATTCTAGACAGCAGATCACGTAGTGAAAATCAAGCTTTACATTCTTGATTGCCTCAAATACGGCCTTCAAGGAGTCTCCTTGAAATGGAAGAACACCAACCAAAAGCACATGTAGTAGCACACCTGCACTCCATATATCTACCTTCCCAGAATAATTTCCCAATAGAACCTCAGGCACAACGTAAGTCGGACTTCCAGCCAAACCAGACAAAATCTGACCTGTAGCGAATAGTAATTGTGTCACAAAAGGTTTAGGCACAACTCAAAAGGAAACAAGCAGAACACTAAACAGAGCTTTCCAAGGCAATATGCTACTGCAAACGTCTTTTAGCAAGATCAAATTTATTTAGGTGAAAATCTATTATGTTTGACTTGTAATTCAAGGATAATAAGTGTAAGCACCTTCAAATGTATAGTTTCAAATTTTTTTTTGGAATTATCTTTTACTGTAGTTTCACTGACAGTGTGGTTTGATAGGCTACAACAAGGCCACAGTCCCTGGCATCCTCTGCGACAGATATTAACGCTGCTTAGTTGCTAGACGTGGTACCGATGGTTGTAGACATCTTTAATGCTTGAAATTTTTATCATTCAAAATAAATTTAAGCACCTTGAAATATAAAATCCCCTTGATCCTCTTCTTCAGCAGATCTCCACATTCACCAACCAGGACACAGCTATAGAAAACACGTCATATTCTAGGCCAATAGTCTTAGATTCTCTTCATCACAAAACAAACAGGAAAATTCCCTTCATGCACCTTTCTCTCCATTTATGCATGTGGTGACTGACATTTTGCAATCACAAAATAAATATGCCATGCCTGAAGGAATACAAACTTTACAACCCCATACATTGAATGTCGAGTTGCAAGAAAATACACAAAGAAGGAATTTAAAAGAATCAAACAAACAGAAAAGGCAATTCTTCAAAGTAGGTTCCAGATATTCACCATTGGAAATTCTCATGGCAAGACCGAAATCTGCCAGCTTTATCTTTCCTGAAGTTGTCAGGAGAATATTCTCTGGCTTTACATCTCTATGCACAACTCCCATCTCATGACAGTACTTGATGATTGACATCACATCCTTAAAAATATTAGCAGCACGATGTTCCGAAACTGAGGTTCTGAAATTTGGTCAATTAAACTACCTCCAGAGCATAATTCCATGAGGAGGTGAAAGCAGTCGGGCTCCTCATACACCGCCTGCAAAGTCACAATCCCAGGATGACCAGATAAATGCTGCATTATCTCTACCTCTTTGTGAACTGTCTCCTCTCCCTTAAGCAAGGTTTTACAAGCAAACTCTACTCCACTACTTCTAGACCTGCACAACCAAATTGACCCAAATTTCCCCTGCCCAATTGTATCACCTTTAACATAATCCTCCTCAATCTTTTTCTTCCCACCAATTCTAGTAATCGCCTCAATGCAACCTATCTTCCTCTTAAGACCTCTCCCAAGAGAGACCAAAGATGATGCACCACAAGGTGGGGCAGTAGCAATGCCAGCAAGCCTACTTTTAAATGAACCAACAGGAGGTGCATCCATATCTTCCTTGCACCTCTTTTTTATCCTCGCATAATCTTCTAATGAAAAATGAGACCTAATATAGGATGATCTTGAATCCCAAGCCGAAGCAAATTTGTCAGTTACCACTGGAGAGACATCAGTTTCGCTTCCTTTTCTTTTCTTTCTCATCAAGTCAAGCATCAATTCACAAAGTTATCGAAAGTTAGACCTTGGATACATTAATGTTCCCAGAAATTACAGATGATCATGAAAATATATCCAGTTTTATTGAGGAGTCTCGTTTGCTTTTCTTCCCTGTAAACAAAAACAATAGTGTCAAAATCAGTTCAAAAACAAATGATAAACAGAAAAACGGAAAAGGCAAACACAAGATAACTTGATTCGCAAAGCCAAAAACACATGTGAGGCCCCGGTTAAGTTTAAGATGTTAAAAACACATCTTTAATAGAAAAGGGAACACTTGCTTTAAAAAAAGAAGAAATAAACGATAAGCTGAATCCATCTTGTTCTTTTTCACGGATCCTACTGGGGACCAGATAGATCATAGATCAAAAATCAAAATCCTAACTTTACCATATCATCATTCAAAAAATTGAATTTAATTATAAAAATCAACTAAGAAAGTACTGAGAGTTTTGTGGCCAAAAAAAACGGAACCTATAAACACAGTGAAAAATCGCTCAGATTGCAATAAGGGAGACCCCGGTTGATGAATAGTTACATAGACCGAAAATAAATAAATTATCAGCGAAAATTAGGCAAGTGAGACAAAATTCGGGGATGAAATTTTATATCATTTGATATTAATTCTTATCATTAATCTTAGCAATTTGATACTTAATTTTACTTTATATTAATTGTGGTTTTTTGAATCATGATAATATTAATTTTGATACACAAAATTTAATATTGATCATTACTTTTAGTTTTGATGTTTATTTTTAATATTTCTTTTAATTTAGTATTAATTTTGATCAAATAAATTTTAACTTGGATTTTATAACTATTTGAAATAGTTAATGGATCTCAATTATAATTAATTTTAATAAATGATTAATTTTAAAAAATTCCTTACACTTTTAAATATTTACATAATAAAGACAAATTTACTTGTGGTACGTTTTAGTACGTCACTTTAATGATACGTTGTTGTATGCGACATGTGTTGTAGAATTTTTCTCTCTCTATATATATATGATAGTTAGCGTTTAGCCGTTAACACGGATTGTTTTTTTTTTGGGATTAAATTGTAGTAACTAACTATTTTTTGGTTAAAAAATTATAATTAATTATTCAAAATTTATCTACAGATTAATAAAAGGATTAATTGATATTAAATATACTGGATTTTATCATGTGTAAAAAAAGATTTACATAAGAAATATTTTTTTAAATTCATTTAAAAATTAGAGTGGTAATATTATATAATACTTTTATTCCTTAAATAATTTTTTTAATTATTCTATTTATGTTATGTAAAGTATAAAAAAATGAAAATATTTTTATATTAATATTCATGATTACATTTTAAATAAAGATTTTGTTTTTTTTTTTGCTAATACAGATAAGCTAAAATTTAACAAGACTAAAAGGAATCTATTGGTATAATAGCAAGCATTTCATCAGGTGGATTCGTGAAATATATTATTCCCATATCAGCACCGCGGCTCAAGGTTGCCAGAATGTCGGCAGCAACATTCTGTTCACGGCGCTCATGTCGGATTGTCGTCTTCCAATCTTGATCTCGAAGTTTATAGATGTCATCAATCCATGCACTTCCCATGAGAGCCTCTAAAGAATGGTTCCATACTTTTGCAACTTCAAGATTATCGGTTTCCACTTCAATTTGACGGAATCCTAATCTCCGAGCATGAAGAAGAATATGATGGACAACTCATAGTTCGGCAACAAGAGCAGAACATCTTCCCTAACTAACCATATATCCAATCACCCTCGAAGTTGCGTAACAAACCAACGGCAGCTGCCATATTATCGTTAAGTCTCATCGCACCATCTTCCCAAGATATTTTAATTACTTTTTAATTGAATTAGAACTATAGCCATTCTTTTAAATTTTAATTTAATTGGTATTCTAATTTAATAGAAATCATAAATATTTCAAAGTAATATCTTCCCAATATATTTATGATTTCTATTAAATTCTAATTTAATTGGTATTTTTACGGTCACAATCGATTAAGGTTTAAACTATACTAATTTAAAAGTACTATATCTATGGAATGGTTTTATATATTTTTACAAGTTAAAATTTATAATTATTTTTTAATTTAAATATTTTATATTTACTTATTTAAAGTACGTTGAGAGATCTTTCGATTGTTCGATTAATCGGAATCCTCAACATTAGATATTATATTTATGAGGTGATATGATTGTTGAATCCTCGTGATTTTATCTCTTTATCAAATAACAATCTTAAAAATCACATATAAAAAGAGAATGATATTATTCTTAAATCTTGTAGGATGTAAAAGTACTTATTATAACTTATCTTTGAATGTTGAAGTATCATACAATGACCAGATTAAAGGTTTAATAACAATGAAGATCTAATTATAAAATTAATGAAGATTGAACGATCCAATGATACAACTAAAAAATAAATGTCAAAATTAGATAGTAAATGAATATTTGGGGATGCTCGTATTATTAATAAAATAATATAAAACAGTTGTGTTTGTGGATACCCAAATTATTAATAATAATATAAAATATATATTTTTTGGGATAAGTTTTATATATTTGCTCAAAAGAAACAATGAAATTGCTATAATTTACACGTAACAATCAACAACAGGAAAATTCAACAGGGAATATCTCACATACTACAGAGGCGAATGTTCACAAGATCTACCCTATCAATGCTCTTCCCTTGAAGTTTGATTCTGAGCATCTCTTTAACAGTGGAAAGAATGGCAGCAGCTTCCCTAGATTTCCCCTGAACAACCAGTACTTCCTTTCCTCCCAACTGGTATAAACATGAACACTCTATGCTAACCTAAGGATGATGGTGAGTAAAGATTTACCCTTACGATTGATAACTGCCCACTCAATCTCCTCTTACCAACACATGACTATAAAATAATATTAATGAGTGTAATGAATGAAATAAATACAAATAAATATTTTATATTTTATTAATAATGTTTTCATTAATAGGTTTACCACCATTATTATCTAAAATAATTATATTTATTTCATTAATAATGTTTGCAGATTTTTTTTTTTGATTTTCTACACCTGCTCAGCATCCTCTTATCGCGAGTTGTTACAGTTCATAGTTTCTAAAATAACTATTTTCCGTTTCAGGTTTTCCAGCACTATCTCCATGCTTGGTGTATGTGTGAATGTGCTTGTTGAGAGAGATGAAACTCAGCATTCACACCAGAATTCGAAAACTATAAAGAAGTGTTACCAGAACATTTCGTTTGGAATGTGTAGAACTCGATTATCAGTTACTGTTAAATTCCAAATTTAGTAGCAATACAACACCATGTATTCATTTTGGATACAACTTAGCAAGATGGAACTTAGAAGTAGTTACCCTGCAATCTCAAAGCTGCTATAATGGTTTCGTTGGAAGACAAGGTTCTAGTGGCATCCATCAAGAGCAGCTGCTCTGACTCGTGCACTATTTCTCTATATCAACGAGCTGGCTGAGTTGATGGAGCTTTTAACCGGGAACATCGACAATCTTCTTTCCCCTATAATATAATCTGTTTGATCCCAAGAACAGCTGTAAGGCATTGTCACTAATCCCTGGAGTTGATTTTACTTTGCTCGTCGAAACCCTGAACAAGGGTAGAAATCTCATTATCAATCTCAATTCCATCCTTGTACATCATTTCAAGGATGCCGAGAGCTGGTCTCTTAGCCAAAAGATAATTTCTAAGCCACGATTTATATATCTCTGAACTTGCAAGACCCAAACGCTGAATCTCTCTAAAAAAGTTGTTTGCATCTTCCAAATTCCCATGTTTCTCCAAGTATTCAGCAATGGCCACAAGAATCCAATGGGGTGGCCTCCAGTGACAATCTTTTAACATAACAAACCCTCTCTTCATAGCATCGATGGCCTTCACCATGTTATGGCTTCTCACCCGCCCTTCCATCAGAATTTCCCACGTCTTGTAATTGGGACACCCTCCTTTCTCCAATGTGCGGCGATGCAGTGATTCAGCTTTATCCATCCATCCATTCTGCATGTATGCACCTAAAAGGACATTGGAGACTCTAATATCATAGTTTCTACAGTTGGACTCCCACTCCATAAACACCCTCTCCGCTTCTACAATATCACCCAACCGAACCAAACATGATAATATGCACATATAATTGGCACAAGTCATTCTCTTACCTACGGCCTTACTTGTTTGCCAAAGCCGAAGAACCTCAGTCTTTTTTTTCAAAGATGTGTATTGAGTCATAAGGAAGATATAACCAAACCTATTACTTGCAGACAGCTTTGTTTCTGCAGTTTTGAGGGCAATATCTGCTTTCACAACCAGACCTGCCTTGGAATAAATATTAGCTAAAGTAGACATCGTGCTCCAACCCAAATCGACACTCTTATCACTCAGCATTTCAGCATACACGGCTTCAGCTTTTGCAACACCAGATGATTGGGCACAAGCATCCATCCAAATGTTGTATGATAGAACATTTTTGGGTATTTGGTTTCGAGTCATTTCCTTGATAACCAAAGGTACTTTCTCATACTGAGATGTTGCCACATACAGTTTCATCATTTCATTGTATGGATGGGGACTGAGGGTCAGCCCCAAAGCAGAGAGCTTCCTCATGAAAGCCTCGGCTTTCCCAATGTTCCTTTCTTTTACATAACCATTAAGAAGAGGGAGACAAGCCGCTTTCTGGGAAGCATTGTTGGGTAAACGATTGAAATGTTCTTCGGCTGCTGTGAAATCACCGACCTTGATGAGTAATTTCACTTTACTGGCATTATCAACAGCTGACATCTGTAAACCTTTTTGAGCTTCTTTCCATGTCAAAATCTGTTCGTTTCAGATAGTAAATATAGCACAAAATCAAATTCATGAAACCCATAAAAAATACCCTTTTGGCTTAGAAAATTCATTTTGTCTGCTGTATTTTGACTAACCAGAAAATTTCTTCCAATTAAAAGAATGAACTTCATGTCCTTTTTAGCTTTCTAATACACTATCAAGAAATTCAGAAGATGAAAAGAAGGAAAGAACCTCGAGGGCCTGATTGTAGCGCCTGGATTTGTGTAGAATTTCGGTAATGGATAGGAGCTCCGTAATGTCAACCTTGCGACCTGAATCAACCCAATCTCGGAGCACCCTGGTTGCACTTTCGATTGGCGATTTCAGTCCCAGAATCCTCCTCTTTAGACTTTCTTTATTATCACCAGCAGCAACAGTTCTTGCACCAGGCCTTTTCATCGCGTAATTCGAGCAAGCAACAGAACTTATTGGCCGCCGCCACCTAGCTATTGCAAGCGTATCGCCGCAATTTCTTTTGAGATTACAGAAAATCGAGCGACTCCCCATGGACGATTAAACTCTGCCTCTGCTCTCAAGGTCTCTCAAAGCTCCGTTCGTGGTTTAGAGAAAAGGTCGCAAAGTACAGCGAACCTTTTGCCACAGATTCTACAGCATCAAACGCGACGTTCTCAGTGCACTAAACGGCGGGTTAGTACGTGCGTTTGGTTGCGAAAAAGATCGGGAAATAATTTTTTTTAAAAAAAAATTATTCTCACATTTTATTTATAGAAAATATTATTATCATATAGTAATAATTTATTAATAATAATAAATTTTTTCATTAAAATAGTGAGAATATCATTAATTTCAAGTTAATAAGTATTACACAATTCTTGCCGTTTTGAATAAAAATATTTCCAAAAAAATACAAAATCTAATCATTGACAATTTTTTTAATTATTAATCATTAATTTAAAAAATTGCTCATATAATATTTAAGAGGTAAATTGCTCGTATGATCATTCAATTATTTGAGAAATGTGATTTGACCATCCAATTGTTAAACCGATAATTTAAGACTTTCATAATCTCAGTTGTTAGTCACTAATAATTGAATAGACGACAACATAATAGTATAAGATTTTATATGGCATTGCAATAATAATTAACATGTTACATGACATTGTCCACGACATTACAACATAGATATTTTTCTAATTTATTAAGTGACATCAATTGCTAAAAAGAGTGTTGTTTGTCTTGTGTTTGAGTAATTGCGTCTATAAGGTGTGTACATTGTCCATAGGTAAGAAAGACTATGAACATATACTATTTTGTAATTATCTCATACTAGCCAAAAAAAAATCTAAAAATTAAGTTAAAAGGAAGGTCATTTAGTTTTTTCTATAAAGTGTATTTAGTTCATCTTACTTTGAAAAAGATTACAATTTTGTTAATAACATTTGAAGAAAGTCATTTGAATAGTTGAAAATCAATTTAGCTAATAACATTCACGTGATTTAGTTCAACAAATTAGTGTTTATAATTATTTAGTTAATAAAAAATTTCATCCGAATTTATTCATTTAATTAGAGCTTATAATTATTTTTAAAAAAACCGTAAAATTTAAAGTTCAAGATATATATTCCTTTGTGTCTAAGAAAATAATAATAAAACGGGAAAGAAACTAGGGAAATTTAAATTATAAGTAGTAGTTACAAGGACTATGGCTATAGGCAATTTATTATCTAACTAGCTGGGGGGAAAAGGGAGGGGGGGGGGGAACAATTTAGTCAAACAAAGCTGGAACCTGTAATTGCAGGGGTGATCTAAACACTAGAGTTGTCATCGGGACGATTGGGAAGCTCAACTGATTTGGTATGGGTTTGGGGAGTTTCTTTCTTCTTGTTCTTAATTTTCTTCATGTCAGGATAGAAGTAGGAAAGGAAGCCCCAGAGTGAGAGAACAAGGGACAAACCCTTCTCTGCTTCAAACTTCTCTCTGAAGAATATCACTGCCAAAATCTCTAGAACTGGCAATTGAATGGCCGTCACCATCCCCGATAGCAGAGATGATGCACAAAACACTATTCCCATTCCTCCCAGGAAATAACCCTGCCACAATATTGCACTAAAAACAGCTACAATGTAATATTTCGTTTCTCCCAGCTCGAATTCCTTTGCCTCCCTTCCAATTGCCTGAAACAAAATCAATGTATAACTTGTCTCAACTACTATTTGGTTTAATTGGATTAGCAGTAAGATGAGGCAAAAACAAACCTTGAAATCATTGTTAATGAGCATGCCGATGGTGCAAAAGGCAGTAGCGAACACACTCGTCAACAGCTGAATCTCCAGCACAAGAGCGTAGGTGATTTCTTGGTTTGCCTTCTGGTACATTAATTCCACCAAAGGCAATACCAAGCCATACAAAGCCGCTGCAGCTAAGGTCATTAAGAAACCTATTGTATATTTCTTGGTAGATTCATTCTCAATCTCGCTGCTGCTCGCAGGCACAGCCAAAATGCCTGCCCCTATGGTCAACAAAAACACAGCGTTTATGGAGTAAGCACTGAACTTTTGTTTCACCAACAGGAAAGCAAACACCGCGGTGAAAGCCAACTGTGAGGCGAGGATTAAATTACAAGTCGAAACGGGAAGAAGAGACACGCCATAAGCGAAAAAGTAGTTGTCAAGGCCCGTGAGGATTCCGATGACGGCGGAGGGGATGAACAATCGCGGTTTCATGTAGAAAAACTTGTTTTCCGATTTGGATTCGGCCGTCCTAGAACGGTAAATGTAAGAACAAGCGATGATGAGTAAGTAGATGGGCCAAGCTGCTGTCTGGAGGAAGCTGGAGAACCAGATCCGTTTCCCGCCATGGAGGAAGTAGACGCGCGATAAAAGTGAACCTCCGCTGTTGCCTATAGTAAGGATGATGCAGTTTATTGCTAGCAGATTTTTCTCATGGTGGTATCTTCAGGTTTAGGTTCCTTCCCCTCCGTTGATATATTACACGTGGTGTTTAAATTCAGTTTTTTGTATTTGGATATTTGCTGCTACCCCACTGTGTAAGAACACTGAATTTTAGAGGTTGATAAGGAGGATTTTCTAAAATAAGCTACTTAAGGAGTAATTAAGGTCAAGAGAGATTTAAAATATTTGATCTGAGCCGTTGAATGTGTGAAAAAAAATGAAAAACCGGTAGAATAGCGTATCCGGTTATTGCCGGCTAGTTTTTATGTAAACGAAGAAAAACTTGAATTTGACCAAATCACATGATTTATGACAGCAACCCATATGCATCCTATCATTTTAAAGATTTGACAAAGAAACCTAACAGATTTTAACTTGTACTAAAAGGTAAATCAATTCATTTTAATGAACCTGAAACCTAACAAGAAACAAGTCACCTGCGCTGCACGAACCGAACTTCCATGGGCAAATATTAGGCTCGTAATCGAATCTAACGTCTAAAAGAATTATTCATGAATTATTCGGTGAAAAGTTTATTTGTGTTAATTTATTTATTAAAAGAATGAATATAAATAAGATTTTATGTCCGTTTAATTAAATGAACGAACGCAGACAAAGAGCTCATTCGTTTATTTATATTCATGAATGTTCGATAATTTATTCGTTTATTTATATTCAGCCCAATTTTCAAACTCGTTTAAACTATTAAGAACTAATAAATTTTAATCATAAACCCATTAATATTTTAAAACTCAATTAATCTTAAACCCAAATAAAAAAAAATACACAAACCAATTAAAGAAAATGTGAATTCTAAAATTATTTTGAAAGAAAAAAACTTTTTTCAGATACATTCGTTCGTTTATGTTTGTTTATCATTTTAACAAACGAACACGAACAATATACATTCCTTCACGAACAAAAAATTTTGTTCGTTTAATTATTTATGTTTGTTTGTTCAACTAAAATTAAATAAACGAATATAAATATATCTTTATTAATATTCGTTCGGTTCATTTATATGTCTACCAAATGCAGTAATCTCTTGTGCATAACAACACCTTATGCCCTTTTCGACAATCACATCCAACGCATAGCTGCAATGAGTTCTGTACCGACCTATACTGAGTTGTATTCGATGGCTCAGCCCTGTTCTCAACGACCCTAACTGCCATATGGTTCCCATTTCTAGCTGGGCAGCTACGTGTTTTAACCATTTGAATTTCACTACTGATATTAGTGAGTAAAATTTGATTTGGTTTAAAAAAATTGATCTTTTTGATTTAATTTGATTAAAAAAACTTAATTCAAATTTAAAAAAATTAAGTTTAAGTCGAGTTATACAATGCAACTAGAATAACTTATTTTTTTAGCAATTAATGGATTGATTTTTAAGTTTGAGTCAAATCTCTTGAATTTATTTGATACATATATATCACATATGAAAAATATATATGTATTGTACATTGTTATAGAAAAAATCATTTAAAATGAAATCAAATGATATTATAATATTATAAATATTTATAATTAAATTTAAATAGAAATTCGAATACTCGACTCAACATGAAAAAAATTCAAATCAAGTTTGAGTTATAAAATAAGTTTTATCAACTCGATTTTTTTTATTCGACTCAATTTGAACGAATATTCACCCCTACCCGATGCCACTTGGGCCAACTGCAAATCTTCGTTAGCTGTTGTCTTGATTTCTGATATTATTCTGCTCTTCGACAATTTGGCTTTGTACCTTCCCGTAATTGCAAAGTTCCTTCGTAGTACATGTATACCTGTTAATTATGCAGATACTTAATTTGTAGTTAATTACATTTATTCTAATAAATATTAAATATCTTTAATATTTTAACTAACATAAATAGTATTATAGGAGTGTTGATCGCAATAGTTTTATTCCACACTTTTTCGCATTTTATTTTTGGAAAATTTTAAAATTATTTCATGACTTAATTAATTAAACTAGATGTATATTATGAATAAAAGAAGTTAGAGAAATATGAATCATAAAAAATATTTAAGGGAATGAGATAAATACTCTATAAACAACCCTTTAAGTGAACTAGATGAAGATTAAAAATTTGATGTTTGAACTATAATTAATTCTATTATAAAATTTAAACTATTAGTTCAATAGTTTTACAAGAGATTTAATTCTTTTTCTTTTATCAGTATGGGATGATTATATGGTAGTATCTATTGAAATTTTTCTTAATTATTGACAATGCACACACCCTACACCATACGAATGTAATTATTCAAACCTGAGACTTTTAAGGAAAACAACATTCTATTTTATTACTAAAATCACTTAATACATTAAAAACTGCTTCTTGTATTTAAGCACGAGCAAAGATATATAAAATGGTGAATAAATGTTTAATTTAATTTGTAACTTAAAGTCAATCTTAAAAACTTCATCTATTAGCTTTAATATGTATATATAATGCATATTTAGAAAAAGTAATATAATAGAATGTTGCAGAAGACGTCTATCGGATAGAGTAAAATCGCAACTCATAATTTGATAAAATAAAAATGAAGATAAAAGAAGACACAAAATTTACGTGGAAAACCCCTAATAATATAGGGTGAAAACCACAGGCAACGGTAGAAGAATTTCACTATGAGAAAATAGGAATTACAACTTCTCTCTATCTACCATGGATAAAACAATGATAATTCTCTCTTCATAAAAAGGAGAAAACAACTCTCAAGAAACTCTC